TAACTAGTAGACATATTCGCCATATTTTGCCATTGCGGGGGATATTGATGACTTTGTCTTCATGTTAAGGTTTCTTTTAAAAAATGCATTTATACTGAGGCAAACAGGGGATATTTTTTAGAAGACAATTAACAAGAAGCAAGAGTAGATGTATGCCAGTAATCAGGCGGTTGTGTTACCCCCAGACGGTTTTCCCATCGATGTACAAACTGTTTTTGCCAGTTACCAATGATAAAGCAACTTTAGGCACTCTAATCTCAACCTCTATATTAGCATAGCGACTTCTTATGATGACCTACATGGGGTAAGTGTATGTGCTTGGTCAGCCGTTCATCTGAGTGAAATATCACCTTGTCGCAGTTTTCTGTTTCCCAGCTAGAGACGTCGTATAAGGAGGTCATAGCAAGATGTGGGTCGTATTATCTCGCAAACCCAGTCTGTGAGTAATAGATTATTAACGACTGATATTTACCTGAGGAAGGCAAGTATATGTACAGGTTGTGAAGTCATTCAAACCAAGCCCCTTTGTTGCCCATGAATCAGCCAAACAAACCTCTACTTGTCAAGATACCAAGTCATGGATGACTCAGAACAAACTTCACCTCAACGATGAGAAGACTGAGTCGGTGCTGATAGGCCCTGCTAGTAGGCGCAGAAAATGTCACCTTGATACCATCCAAATTGGAGAGGCGTTAGTTATAGACTCAAACCTTGACTTGAACAAACAAGTTAGCCAGTTGTCTCGATCTTGTCACCCACAGCTAAGAAACATTAGGAAAATTAGAGCATGTCTGACCAAGGATGCTACAAAAACACTGACCCTTTCATTAATAATTTCAAGGATAGATTATTGCAACAGCCTCCTAGCCGGTTCTCAAAAAACTGTCATCAGAAGATTACAATCCATCCAGAACAAAGCAGCCAGACTTGTTTCACTCTTCCCAAAATCAGACCATATCACCCCGATCCTCAAAGGGCTTCATTGGCCTCCTGTTCAACAGAGAGTCATTTTCAAACTTCTGTCTAGCTTTTCAGTGTCATTCTCATATTGCTCCATCCTATCTCTGTGACCTCCTCCAGCCCTAAATTCCATCCAGATCGCTCCGCTCAGAATCTCAACAGCTATTCATTGTGCCTGAAGTCAAACTGTGCAGTTATGGACAACGGGCGTTTTCCCATTCAACAGCTTACAAAAAAAAGTGGAACATTCTCCCTCAAGAACTACGAACTTCTCCAACCTATTCTTCCTTCCGAACATCTCTCAAGACTCACCTGTTCCGTCAAGCATTCAATTGCCTGAACACTCCTTTTCCTTCTTAGCGCTTTGAGCAAGATATTCATCCTGGAATGGCGCTATGTAAGTGGACTATTATATACGCTTCCTAGTCGTAGACGAATGTGTGGCGACTTCACTACAATACAATCTTCTGCGTTACCCAGAGTGTCATAAGGGCTGTGTTCCTTGCAGCAAATCCGTGTACCATCCCAACGCCAGTAAAGAGAGTCATACAAATTTGTACTGCGGATGCAAGCGTGGCATTTGGTAAGCGATGACGGCATTTTGGCTTTCCATCACATTTTGTGTCAAAACGACAGAATATCCAATATATGTATCTTCACTGAATTTACCGCCCCCTAACCCGTCACTGTCCTTGACGCTCTCTATACCTCTACATAATCTGGGTGGTACCGTGGATGGACGGACCTCTGAGTCGAACCTTCAAACATGGCGAAGACGGTAATAAACAAGAGTGAGTGAGTTTAGCAATGTTCCAGCAATATCACGGCGGGGGACATTAGAAGCGGTCTTCACACATTGTACCCATGTAGGGAATCAAACCCGGGTCTTCAGCGTGAAAAGCGTGCTGTAACCACTAGGCTAGCCAACCGCGCCAGCTGAACGCGGTAAGGCGCTGAAAAACTCCCTCAGATCCCCAATTCATAATCTCTAACACATTATCTTTTGTTGAAGAAATACATTTTTGTCAAATAGGGGTATAACAGTGAAATTTCCCATTTTAACCGGATCAACATTGTACCCGAGCCTTCCGCGTGACGAGCGAACGTTTTACCCTCTAGGCTACCGTGCCCCACCGCCTCGATAACCAAGAGTTAGCAACACCCTCATGTCGCTTAAGATACTCTGGATATAACAAACACCAATGACATTGGCAGTGACATGGACTTTATTACGATTTTGTGTGCAGAAACGGGTGGTATTGTGTGCATTAATAAAAATTTATGGAATAGTTGAAAAACTTTAATATACATACTAAGTAAAATGACAATTCATAGCTCAGTATCTGATACTGCAGTTCTATTCATACTGGAGATGTCAGTCGATTCACAAAGTTGCAAATATAAATCTACATTTCCTATCTTAACGATACGATTTCATTTGTGTTCCTGTTTCAGACATGTTTAAATATTTCCATGTTTAGATTGTCTGTACAAGAATGTCCTGGAAATATCATGAAAGTGAAGCTACAGCATACGGATTGGTCGTTAAAGCTCACGCTATCGATTTACAAAGTTGTAAATATATGTATGTAACATGGTACAAATGATAGATGTAGTACTTCGTACTGAGGGATATACATAGAACGGAATATCGAACAAATGGTGGTGACAAATTGAAGATCATAATCAGAGATATCTGGAAATACGATTATAGAATTCTAATCATTATACAAGACACTCCGGAGATGGCTTGGGTCACAATTTATGCAAAACGTTACTCACAGTGCTCTGTACAGGTCACGCGACCTCTTTTAGGATAAAGGACTAACCGGCATTGCTTTTATAAACTTCGTAAATGTTGGTTGGTTGGTTTGTTGTTTAACGCAGCACTCAGCAACATTCCAGCTATATTTCGGCGTCCTATAAATAATCGAGTCTGGACCAGACAATCCAGTGATCAACGGCATGAACATCGATCTACGCAAATTGGTCAAAAAGTCAGCGAGCCTGACCACCCGATCCCGTTAGTCGCCTCTTACGACATGCATTGGTTACTGAAGATCTATTCTAATCCGGATCTTCACGGGTCACTTCGTAAAGAAACATCAGTGAACATGATTGATGGAGTGATGTAAGAAATTGTATTATCAGTATTGTCACATTTACAAATTCTACCACATTTACAGTCAGGTCGAAATTCAGTTCGATACAAGCTAACTTTGGCCTTTCTTGCGGTTGATTGACTGCAATCAATAAGAGAATCCAGGGTTCGGTATAACCCTGTCACAATATTAAAAGTATTATATTTTATCAATAAAGATACACTCCAGACAAAGACAACATTTGTAAATGCCTGAGGAGTTGAAAAATGTTACAGGCGGACTCTCTCTCTCTCTCTGTCTCTCCGTCTATGGTTAAATCACCATTGAACTTTTCGTGGTCATGGATGGTAATGAACTGTGCCACCCCCACCCTATCACTACACACCTTTCTCAAAAATGTATTCGCCCCTGTAAACGGACGGGGTTTGGAACACAGGAAACATTACCAATTACTGAATGGTGCAGAAATTCTGTTGATACGTCTGTCACATTAAACATAAACAACAAAGTGCTTCCTATAAAAAAAATGCCAATTAAGTATTACCGTTTGCAGTTCTTTGAAAAACCGCTCACATGGCAAGCGGGTGACCCACTTCTGATCTCAAAACATGTCACTGCCCGGCAGTTACCCCCCTTTGTAACCACTGCGTGCAACCCGCTAAAATTGTGACGATAAACCACATTTTTTGCTCGTGCGTGTTAACCATAGCTATTTTCGAAACATACCATCAAGTAAATTGAAAATACATGCATATATCCTTTTGGGCGTAACAATACGTTTTTTGTTCATTAGTTGGGAAAGTTCCTTCTTTTATACACGTTATTGCCCAAGGACTAGTACTGCCAGGCGGTTCCATGTGATTACGTCAATATGATCAAAGCATGATTTTCAACCTAACAGAGGGGGCATAACGAAATGTTTGTTAAGCAGCATCTTCTGCAGCATCTGGTTTATGTTGTGTTATATATGTTGGTTAACTGAACCTAATGAATAAATATTGGGGAGTTTTTTGTTGTTATTTGGGATTTTTGGGGGATGTTGATGTTGTGTGTGTGTGTGTGTGTGTGTGTGTGTTGTTGGTTTGGGGGCTTTTGTATTGTTTTCTTTTATTGTTTTTGTTGTTGTTGTTTATTTTGTTGTTTTGTTTTGTTGACTTTATTGTTTTGTTCTGTTTTTTGTTTATGAGGGGCGGTGGGGTAGCCTAATGGTTAAAGCGTTGGCTCGTCACGCCGAAGACCCGGGTTCGAATCCCCACATGGGCACAATGTGTGAAGCCCATTTCTGGTGTCCCCCGCCGTGATGTTGCTGGAATATTGCTAAAAGCGGCGTAAAACCAAACTCAGTCAGTCAGTTTTGTTTATGATATTTATTTATTTATTTATTTTTTATTTTTAGGGTTTTTTTAGTTGTTTTTTTTGTGTGTGTGTTGTTGGTTTTTGGGGGGGAGGTTTTTTGCTTGTTGTCCTTTGGTGAGTTTTTTTAGATTTTGATTTTGTTTTGTTTTCGGAGGGGGTGGAGAGGTAGGGGTGTGAGTAGTGAAATCAGTCAGACAGATACTGTGCAATTTCTGTTTGCTCAAAGCTCAGTCTCTGCGTCTGTATGACTGAATATTCCCGTTTTCGGTCCTGCCCGCCAATACTATTTTGGAAATAAACTATGTCAGATCTTTGACGTCATGGCTCATGTCCAAAAGACCAATAAAGTATCATTTATGGTCGGTGTGTTAACGGAGAGGGCGAGCAAGAGAGAGAGAGAGAGTCAGTTGGTAACACCCTTCAACATGTATACTATTCTAACATTTCGTTTTCACAATTCACTTGCAATGACCCGAAAAAATCTTGACTTTATATCCTCTATAAATGACAATGTCGACTTCAGGGTTGATGTCGCCAACGGAGTGTATTGAATGAGTAACTGGCTGGGCATTGTAAGAAAGGTCACTGGAAACTCTGTCCGTTGAACAGCAACCCTGAAACATGATATTCAGGGGTGAAATGATATTCATATTACTGACACAGATATTTGTATTTTCATAGTATCAAACATGTCACTGGAAGCCGGTCGTCTCAGTCAGTATCTTAATGTCCACATTGAAACCATCCCATTCTCTGCATGGAACTTAGATCATGTCTCCCCTGCATGAAACAAACAGGTTACAAAAGAACAGTCTTCTTAGTTTAATCATTTAATGAGTGATTGAGTTTAGTTTTACGCCGCTTTTAGAAATATTCCAGCAATATCACGACGGGGGACAACAGAAATAGGTTTCACACATTGTACCCATGTGAGGGATCGAACCCGGGTCTTCGCCGTGACGAGCGAACGCTTTAACCACTAGGCTACTCCACAGTCCAAGTTTAACCATTTATAATTATTCAACTAATTATATCAAATTGTGAAAATAGGTTACAAAAGGACACTTTTTCTAAGTTTAATCGTTAAAATGTATTCAAACAAGTATAGCAAATTCTCAGATTGCAAATCGGCTTGGTTTATGAAAAAGATATCTGTATCAAGAAGTTTCTTTTCAATACAGACCCGCAATGGCACCGGTCAGGAACGAGGCTACGTTCCCTGCTATAAAAGCCCGGATGATGAGTCTGACAATGTCCTGCTTCCGTTCTGGTGCCAGAGGAACCAGTGTCCCGAGTGTAACCCCGATAGCGGTGACTGTGGAAAATCCACAGAGAGCGTAGGTACCTATAACTTCACTCCGCTCCTGGGAAAAAAACAAAATATATTTCTTGTTTCAGATCCCTAATGGTGACATGGCGATTATGCAATGAGCTGGATGCGTTCCTTCCTCTCGTGGTCGTGGATTTGAATTTCAGGATCTTCCCTATGAGGATTGTTTTCTGTTATATCACCTTCATTGTCTGCTGGAAGGGTCGATGGTTATGTCATAATATTATAGCGCTATATAAATATCCATTTAATGATATATTTTATATTATGACGGCGTAAAGCCCTTAAGAAGGGGGACATCATGAATGAACTCATACCATAATATGGCATTCATGATGTTCCCCTTCTTAAGGTGATATTATCACTTACATCCATGATACCACCAATGAGAGTCTGATTGGTCGCCTCGAGTATGACGTCACTACCCTGCCAGTGCCACGTATGATTATTCTTGGCCACGTAGTCAAGAAGCTGGAAACGGTTTCTCCTCAGTCTGGATAGCTCAGTGTAGCCTAAGATGGGGGTTCCAAAGATCTTGATGCCCAACATTTCCGCAATCTTCCCACAATCCTGGGAGGCCACGCCCATCGAGTACGAGAGAGGGTAGAACAGATAGGAACACACCAGCTGAAATGAAATAGAAGCAAGCATACTAATTCTTCAAAGGGCGTTAAGTGACTCGTGTCCGAAAAGTGTTTCATCTTGGCTACTACATACAAAGTCTCAAGGATTCACCTTACAATAAACACTTTCACTCAACTTGATAAATACTCACGTCCAAAAGTAATTTGACCCTATTATTTTTCTGATCCATAATGACGGAAGGACACGAGTTTACCGGAGAGTGGGCGAACGAATGGCTCCTTGTTGCAGTCAGGAGACGGTGCCTTTCGCCGAAGGGGTGTAATGATGTGGGGATTAATTTTTGGAGACCGGACCTCTAGACACTGACTGGTCAACGCTACATCAACCATGTTTTGAGGCCAGTAGTTCTCCCTTTCCTGCAGCAACAGCAGCGAGGGACTCTCTTCCAACATGACAACGCCGAGCCCCATGACTTTCTTAATCGCAACAACGTCAACGTTCTGCCATGGCCCCCAAGGTCTCCTGATGTGTCACCGATCGAGCACCTCGGGAACCACCTCGATCGCCGTATCAGACAACGACAACCACCTCCACAAACACGTCGGCAGTTGATCCAAGAGCTGAGGGAGGAGTGGCAGAGAATACCCAACAACGTCATCAGACGGCTGACGTTATCAATGCGCAGATGTGTGTTTGCATGTATCCAGGTCCAAGGAGGACACACCCGTTATTGACAAAGCTTTTTGACCACTCTGAAAGTCTATGAAAGTGTAAAGTCTTTATCTTTTGGCTATGCAAATTTCAAATTTCACCCCTTCTGTAAATGGCACGTCAATACATCATTTAATGTTCAATCAATCTTGATAAAATTTTGTGATGTGCTTCTCAATAGATTTATGTTCATATTACAATAGGTTTTAGTGACATGGGACTGAAATTCTGCACACAGTCAGTACTTTGTCAGGTATCAAATTTCTTTTGGAGGGGGCTATATGTCGATGATAATATGCAAAATTTCTTTCACTGTTCTTTTCCGAGGAAGTCATTTCTAAATTTGAAATTCTAAATCCTTATTTTTACATCTACTATATGTACTCAAGAGGTTGATATTTCATAGGAACAGTTGCCTTGCCTTGCGTGTATTTGTAACTGATGGCAAGGACAGTCACAATGTTTGCAAAACCTGGTACTCAACAATTGAGTACAATCCTCTGATAGTCGACTGTGATTAGTACTTATTCACCCCAAACGAAATGCCAGGGACGCCCGCCTGGTCCCCGAACCATTCTAGTGTCACGTTAACAAACTTCGCCAAGGACACGAAGGCGATCTGGTTGGCGATTGTGTTGGAGGCGATCTTGACGGCAGCAACGGCACCGCTTGATAATGCCGAGAGGACGTTGCGATGCTTTCTGGAAGGAAACTTTCAATTCTTATTGCAATGTGAAAACAGACATTTTGTTGGAGTTTTGAGCTCCACTGAACAAGCTCAGTCTGGTATCAGCTCACTACACAGCACCAACGATTCGTTCAAACCCATTACATTTTATATTGATTCCTTTTGCTCACTCCACAGTTCAAAGAATTAACTCTCACATCTCACACTACTCATTCAGGCCCAACGTATAAACGAACCATATGCCCAACCCATCACAGCCACTCAACAGCATCTTAAATCACAACAAACCCAATCAATCCCGGAGCCAGTTCACTTTCTTTAAGCAAACATTCGAGTCACAGTACCCCCATTACATCAGTCCCTACAAAATGTTCCAATTTACTTGTTCCACGCAATCACTCCAATGACTCACTCAAGTCCAAGTTCCATCTTCACTCCATCTCTGAAGTAGGACTTCTTGGTTTCTGGACACATGAGTTTGGTGATGGCGAGGGCGGCGGGTGCAGACATCACGGCAGCGGACAACAGATGGTTGGCGGGAACCTACACGAGGGACACGTGTACCCTAACTATAAACTCTTTTTTATGCCAGCATATATTATTACCTTGTTGTACGAAGCTCCCGAAGAGTTTTAAGGAAACGCTGTTACCTTTTCCAGTCAAATTATATCCGCCGCGTAAATATTCCTTTCCATTCCAAGACATAGATGCACGGTTAGTTTCGTTTGATTCATACTGCTCAAGTATTTCGTGTTAGCTGTCTCATCAGGTTAACAGGCCTTGCTTCCCTCTTATATTTAGCACATTCGGAACTACTCGTGTCATTCCGGCGCGCCGGATGGCGTTTTGTACCCCATTCGTCACCACTCGCCCCTTTCCATAAACCTCGCTATTCAGCTTGTCCCGGAATAACACGAGTTAGTCCTGCATGCTCGTACCCCCCCTCGTTGCCATGTTACGACTGGGCCCTGTCTAAGCGCAAACGGGCATGGACATATAAATAGTCTAGTACTATTACCAAGGAAAGATAACTCTGAATTTCCAATCATGGCTACTCCTAGACTATCCTATATCCCTTGGGCAAACAGCAATAGAGTCATTCCCTTTGTAAATATGTTTCAGTGTTGAAAATTGCTGATCCTTTACCTCAAAGTATATCTGTAAATTGTTCTTTGCATAGTTTAGCGAAGTTTCAAAGTTCGACGGTGCCGCCATTTTCATGATTGGTTTGCCACGATTCTTGGCAATAATGGCGTACGATAGGGGTACGAGTCTTCTTGTAGGTTACGGATGATATTTGGCATCGCGTTGGATTCATCAGAGTAGACTGCGTGATGTTCTCGCCTGATATTCGTATCATACTGAATTATTAAGGCTTGAATATGGGACGGATGACATAATATATGTATACACATCTAGCGTCCTTCTTTATTTATTTATCAGTTTTTCATATACTTGTTTTTCTCATGATGGGGCAGCTGACAAAGTACTGATGTAGACTAAGAGATTTTCGTTGTTACATGTGAAGCTGAGTTGAAATGTGACCCAATGGCAGCCATCTTGGATAGTACGAATATAAGTGATAGGTAGATGTACATAAAGAGCCCACAAATATCTCCGACTTAGATATTCGAACAGAAGGTGTTATTGTCAGATGAATAAGTACTCACCCCGAAGTGTATGTAGGTGCCCATTACGGCGCCACTGACGCTAGCGAAACCACAAGCCATGATAGCATGAAGTTCCGAAGCTGTGACATGCTTCAAATATGGCCGAACAAAGAGGGGTGCTTCCGTCTAAAATATTCCAACAGGTGCATGTCACACAGTTGTGGTATTAGCGTGACATTTTTCAGATCTGATCTGATGCCGAGTCGACATTTTAACATTTTCGAAAGGTGTGTGTAACTGTAACTATGCTGAGTTTGGTTGCAACATAGTAGGTATCCACTGTGGACTCCATTGTACTCAAGTCTTAAAATGCGTGAATTATCGTGACATTTGACTTGACAGAGGGAGGAGAAAGTGCGTTTGCATTATCAATCATGAAAACATTGTATTATCATCAATTTCTTGACTGGACGACATCCCAAAATAGCACCACACATGCGATCATTCAATGTAAACTTTCGCCAAGTATACAAATTCTCAATATATGTGTTTTTACATCAGTTACACCCGTCTTGGCCGTCGGTGTCATCCACTCAAACGCAGTTGGACTGACTGACTGACTGAGTTTGGTTTTACGCCGCTTTTAGCAATATCACTGCGGGGGACACCAGAAATGGGCTTCACACATTCAACCCGTGTGGGGATTCGAACCCGGGACTTCGGCGTGACGAGCGAACGCTTTAACCACCGCCCCCAAAACGCGGTTGGAATATTCAGTAGTTTTTTCCAAAATGTCCTGTAATTTGAGCCATTATTTCGAAATACTCTAGTGGTTTTTACATATTTCCCCCACACATGTATGCAGAGCAAAGTATGTAGATGAAGTTCAAGTAATAGTAATAGTCCGCTTATATGGCGCTCATATCCAGGCACATTGCCTGCTACGTACATTACTATCCCCGGTCATAGGACACTATCGTACTTTTTGCCGATAATTTTTCAACTCCCTGGGGATCATACAGCCATGCTGCCTGGTAGGCGCAATGAACTAGGCACGCACATTGCCAGCACATCCTCACGGGTACCTATTTGTCCAAGGGCACTACGCAAATGTGCACACCTCGGAACCTAAACCTAGGTGCCTCCACCGGGAATGACCCCTATACATATTCAATATGAACGCTTGTTTTGAGCACTCTACAGTGACATACGTTCCCAATCAACAGTCTGCGAGAGAATCTCGATTCTGAATACCTACCAGCCCTATGAAGATGTTCGCAGAGGCTACCACAGACTCGATGGGCCCACTATCCAGGCAGAAGGACAGGAACGACCCGAGTTTCTCCATGATTACCTGGATTACCCCTATGTGGTACAAGATGAAGATGAAGGAATTGAAGAACAGCATCACTGGCATAACCTACAACAGGAAGACAACGCAGTTGAAAAGAGCATCCCCAGGTATCCACTGCAACATGAATACGCTGGAATTGAAGAACAGCATCACACAACAGGAAGACAACGCAGTTTAAAAAAACTATCCCCAGGTATCCACTGCAACATGAATACGCTAGAATTGAAGAACAGCATCACTGGCATCACACAACAGGAAGACAACGCAGTTGAAAAAGGCATCCCCAGGTATCCACTGCAACATGAATACGCTGGAATTGAAGAACAGCATCACTGGCATCACACAACAGGAAGACAACGCAGTTGAAAAAGCATCCCCAGGTATCCACTGCAACATGAAAATGCTGGAATCGAAGGACGGCATCCGTGGCATCACACAACAGAACGATGCAGCACCAGTGGCATTATACAGCAAGACAATAATTGAGTGAGTGAGTGAGTGAGTGAGTGAGTTAAGATTTAACGTCACCTCGGCAATATTGCAGCTATATAGTGACGAGAAAGGCTTTGCATACACAATGAATATAGGTTGTTAAATATTCAGTCATCGATGGACTACAAAATAACTAGAGTATCACAGATGGTGTCTAAAACTAGCATGGAAATCTAAAACTATTTTATTTACGAAGACAATACAATATAAAATAGGCTATAGCTCGCCAACAACTGAATGGTAGATCACCATACCAGGGCGCATTGGGACTTATAGTACTTTTCTACCTGCATGGACATCATGGACATTTACAAAATCCCTTAAGCTGCTGGCGAATGTAGGAAAAGTTTGGCTGAAGTATAAAATAACAAAAATACTACGTTTAAAAATCCCGTAAGTTTAAATTTAACTTTGAAAGTTTTGGGACTTTCAGGAGGACAATAATTTTACGATACAGCTACTAACAATCACAGTTGCTAATTTATACAACCATGTTTAAAATGCCATTTATCTATTTACAAAACATATTATTCAAAATTTATCTAATAGTTCCATTTCCTTTAAAAATCAATTATTAAATGATAATTTACATTATCAAAAAGATTCTTAATTGTTTGGACATTAAAATATTTATACCTTGTGATGGAAAAATGCTTGGAGTGAAGAACAGTTTAATTTGCATCACACAACGGGAAGATGATGCAGCTTTGCAACATCATCACTGGAATCACGAGTTCCTTCAACAGGAAGGAGTGAGTGAGTTTAGTTTACGCCGCACTCAGCAATATTCCAGCTATACGACAGCGGTCTGTAACAAATCGAGTCTGGACCAAACAATCCAGTTATCAACAGCATGAGCATCGATCTGCGCAATTTGGAACCGGTGACATGTGTCAACCAAGTCAGCGAGCCTTACCACCCGATCCCGTTAGTCGCCTCTTACGACAAGCATAGTCGCCTTTTGTGGCAAGCATGGGTTGCTAAAGACCTATTCTACCTCGGATCTTCACGGGTTGAGACAAGCATGGGTTGCTGAAGACCTGTTCTACCCCGGATCGTCACGTGTTGAGACAAGCATGGGTTGCTGAAGACCTATTCTACCCCGGATCTTCACGGGTTGAGACAAGCATGGGTTGCTGAAGACCTATTCTACCCCGGATCTTCACGGGTTGAGACAAGCATGGGTTGCTGAAGACCTATTCTACCCCGGATCGTCACGGGTTGAGACAAGCATGGGTTGCTGAAGACCTATTCTACCCCGGATCTTCACGGGTTGAGACAAGCATGGGTTGCTGAAGACCTATTCTACCCCGGATCTTCACGGGTTGAGACAAGCATGGGTTGCTGAAGACCTATTCTACCCCGGATCTTCACGGGTTGAGACAAGCATGGGTTGCTGAAGACCTATTCTACCCCGGATCTTCACGGGTTGAGACAAGCATGGGTTGCTGAAGACCTATTCTACCCCGGATCTTCACGGGTTGAGACAAGCATGGGTTGCTGAAGACCTATTCTACCCCGGATCTTCACGGGTTGAGACAAGCATGGGTTGCTGAAGACCTATTCTACCCCGGATCTTCACGATTCTCCTTCAACAGGAAGGAACAGGATCCCCATGTTATCATATCACGATGTCACTGTTCTGTTTCTTCTACTCACGGCAAACGCTATCCTGTGATCCCGGTAATTCTTCCCAAACACAAACTCGGATCCAGCATTACCGTATTTGAGGAACGCTTCGACCCGATGTCCACTCCAGTCAAATATGGCGTATCCCCAGGGTGTCCGCAAGATAATCACGGCAAATGCAAACTGCATCACGATTCCCCAGAACACCGGGTGCCAGTTCACCTGATGAGGGATATGTATGGTACAAAATGTTTGCATTAAGTACATAACGTATAGGAAACACAATTGAGAATGGTAAATCCATTTGATGTTGTACAATACAATATTTGGATGGGGACTGATCAGAAATTGTTTGTTAATACTTATCACGTTCACAATGACTGCGTTACAAACAACTCGTTAATATTCTTCACTTTATCGAAACTTGCTTCTTATGTACAGTTACCACATGCTTTGGAAAAGGAACCATACCAGTTTTAATGTTGGCATCTGATATGTCTCACACCTTATGTTCAGTTCTAAGTTCGTTCGTCATATTCCATTCGACCCAGACCGCCTCCGTGGTGTAGTGGTTAGAGCGTCCGCCCGGAGAGCGGAAGGTCGCGGGTTCGATCCCCGACCGCGTCATACCAAAAGACGTTAAAATATGGTACTTGTTGGTCCCTGCCTGGCGCTCGGCATTAATGGGTACAACAAGGACTGGTCGGCTTGGAGTCAGTATAATGTGTCTGAGTGGGGTATTCATGCTTCACTGCGGCATGGTATCTCAGTGGGCTAGCACTATAAAACCAGCTTAAGTCTGGGCTAGTACACGCAGCCGCACATACACACGCATGCACGTCGTCATATGAGCGAAATATTCTCAAGCACGACGTTAAACCCAATTGCACCTGATCTCACCTCACCTCACCATTCAATCCTATTTCTATTCTCGCCCACACGTCTATCTCCGTTCATTCTCTTAACAACGCTACCTAAATCAAAACTCCGTTGATATCATCACCCCGGACAATTAGAAAATAGGGTTGGGGTCTCACACACCCCGACTTCAATGTTAGGACTGCACGGTATTACCGGTATACCGGAATATCGCAATACGCTTTTCAAGCGATACGTATTGCAATATCTTTTCTGAGAACCGGTATATCGGGTAGAGGAAAATATATGAAGTTTTTGTGATTTTCTTTATGGTTTAAATTAAAATCTACACACTTTCATTCACAACAAATATTTCCTGTGTTATTCAATTACAAAACGGCATATTGTAATACAATAAATTGTATAACATAAAATATAATCCATGACTATGCAACCTAATTTTGAGATTGCTTTTATCAGAACCATGACATATACAGGGATGTATGTTTAGGGAATTAGAATGTAGAAAATAAGATCGACATGTACAATTAGTGTCACTTACTGTCAAACACTGAAGTTCCCAATATATCGCAATACAGGTACCTGAATCGCAATATATTGCAATACAATATATTTGCCAATACAGTCCTATTCAATAATAATAATAATAATGTCACTTATAAAACGCAAATGTCCACACACTTATGAACGCTCAAAGCGCTGAAAAGAATTGAGTAAAAGAGTCAGTCATAGGCACTTTGAAATAGGTAAGTTTTAACTTTTGACTTGAAGGTTCAGAGAGATTCACATAATTTGATTTCTAAAGGTAAAGAATTCCAAAGAGTTGGTGCAACATAGGAGAAAGCCCTTTTCCCATACGAAACTAGGTGGAATTTGGGAACTTGTAGTAGGTGGTTCATTCTCCACTAAACTTGCACATTTGAGATTAAAAATAAATAAAAAGTATTTTTGGAATATATCAGTTTTTATAACACAAACTCAAACTTTGATATGTGAAGGTAATAAAACCGAAAAAATGATCGCTAGGTTTGATATGTTCAAAGTTACAACATTACAAAGATGACCTCTCCCATTTGAGACCAACCAGATACGTTACCTAGTGATTTTGAAACATTGCTTCTTGAAAATGTGAAACATAAATTAAGTTGTTGTTGTTGTTAAGTTTTCTTTAAAACAGTACACTAGATTGTATGCCTAACGACAAATTAAGTTCAAACTTAGCTCGATATTATAAAACAATATGTTCTCACTGTTCCAAGTACACAAAAAGAGTTTATATATATGCACTAGTCATGTCTGAAAGTAATGTTTAGTCCAAAACTGAACATTATATTGTAATCTTTATACAACAATTTGAGGTGCAACAGACTTTTTAGTAACATGAATGTTGTCTTGAGTAAAATACGTACATTGTGTAGATATTGTTCTACCATACAAAATTTTATGAAAAAGATAACGTATCTGGTGAAAGTAAATCATACCCCTTTTATGAAGAACTAGCAAGTCAAACAACGAACAATTAAATTAAAATCAGTTATGTCTTTTGTTATCATAACTTTCTTAAAATGTCAATGTATATCGTTCTAACTGATGCCCTTGCATAATCAACATTGTTATCGAATATGGTAACGTATCTGGCTATGAACAAAGCATTTCTAACATTTAAAACATTAACATCGAAACAAATAACTAGAAAACAATGCGTTCCTTGCATTACTTTTTTCTGTCTGTACTTTGAAGAGTTTTCGTTATCAATAAGTCAGCTTTGATCTTGACAGCATTGCGACTGGAACTATATATTTGGCTTGCCTTATTCTCTCTTTTTCTATAAAAATCCAGCATCATTTAGCTTTTTTCTTTCTCTGTAGACACGCTGAATTTCAGCACGTGTCTTGCCCATTATGGCCCTGGAATATAATAATACAATATATAATGTTTATTTAGTTCTGCCTGATTGATAGCTTTTCATTTGATTCAACCAACCATAATTCCATAAAAACCAGATACGTTACCATAAAAACCAGATACGTTACCATTCTTTTCTCATAATTACTGTGTTACTATAACTATGTCTAAGTATTTTCTGCATATGCAAAACGTAGTTATTCTTTATTGACAATGAAATCATTTCGCATTATTAGAATGTTTACATTAAAGTTGAAATTATTTTACAAGATACGTTACTGTGAAAAACCAAATACGTTACCTTCAAACTTGTAATAACTATCATGTGTACTTATGTCAGTGTGATTAAAATACATAATGTGTCGTATTACATTATGGTATTTATCATTTTGATATGAAACATTATACTTTTTACGTTATTCTCACTCAACCAAATACGTTACCAGATACGTGACCAAAAAACCCAGATACGTTACCGTTAGATTCCCTTCATCCGACTGCTATATAAAAATTGATTGTTTACTAAGAAAATACATCAAATTACATTCAAAATTAACACAAAAGGTTAAAAAAAGGTGCTTTGTTGACCTTACGATTTAACGATTTATTGAAAAAAAAATTTATTTGTGTGGATACATACCAAACGTTTACAAGACGGGTTCCTCTGCTCTCATGACAGCCGGAAGTGGACTAGCAGACGATGTTATCATCCAATTAAAATGCTCCTGAAGTTAGGCAGGCGTAGTAGTTACTTTTTCAAACATGGTAACGTATCTGGTTGTAACGTATCTGGTTAACTTAATTTTATAATCCATTTCAATGCAACCATTCAGGGCAGTCACGTAAAAGTTTGTGCTCTCACTTGAGCGAAGGTCTTAGGGGAGTATCTCATGTTGTCTTCTCACCTGGAACAGTCAGTTGAGGGGACTTATAATCGATTACTTGGTAACGTATCAAAATCTAAAGTGACAAACTATATTTCAAAAGATCTTAGCATGATTGTTACTTTCGTAATTAAGTGAAGTAATTGTGTCTTTGCGGACATGTAGCTGTTGTTTTGACCAACCAAGAGCTTCAGAATTAACTGTCCTATTGCTGTTAAGAGGATTTTTATGAGCGCTTGAAAGTGTGTAACGTATCTTGTGACAAATTTTAAGACATATGATTTGGTGTAAAAAAAACAAAATACAACACAAAATCTGATGTTCAGGGTTACACATAAATGTTTATTGAAGTATTGTGCCAACTTAGAGCATTTCAGACAGTTGTAAATAGACAAATTGATCAACAAAATGTGTACTGACTGAAATACACACTGCCGAAGACAAAAGAAAAATCACATAACAGCATTGCGTAGGATCAGCATACATTTTTTGTACCCATCCACCTTTGTTGTAGTTCCAATGTAAAAATATGTTGACAGATCGTTTAAATATTCTTATAACTTCACAAAGACGTCAGATAATGTTAATGTGCAAGTTTAGTGGAGAATGAACCTTGTGCTGATTCTGGGACCGGAGTGATCTTGATGGAATGTATTCTGTGATGAGTTCAGTGAGATATTCTGGAGCTTGATTGTGGAGACAGCTGAAAGTGATGCAGAGAAGTTTGAAGTTGATTCTCTGTTGAATAGGCAGCCAGTGTAAGGATTTGAGAACAGGAGAGATTTGATCAGATTTAGTCTTCAAAGAAATAATTCTTGCAGCTGTATTCTGTACTTTCTGTAGTCTGGAGATATTGTATTTGCTGAGGCCAATCAACAGTCCATTGCAGTAGTCTAGTCTGGATAGCACTAGACATCTGACTAGGATGTGGGCACATTCCGCTGTGATGTACTTCCTGATGTGTCCTATGGATTTAAGATGAAAGTAACATGATTTGCATATTCTGTTGACTTGCTCCTGCAGTGAAAGGTCTGCGTCAATCCGAACTCCGAGGTCTTTCACAAGTCTCGATGTAGACACTTGTGCTGAACCAATTGTGACTTCAATTCTGAGATCAGTTAGGTGATGCTTTCTGCCAACAAGCAGAACCTCTGTTTTTTCATCATTGAGCTTTAGTGTTTGACCGTTCATCCATGATTTTATTCCGGCAGTGCAGAGTTCTAGTTGTTGGACGGCTGGTGAATGTAACGCAGGTGTGAAAGGCTTCAAGAGTTGGGTATCATCTGCATACGAATAGTTCTAGATTTTGAAGCTGTCGATGACGGATTGAAGTTGGTTTGTATAGATGAGAAAGAGGACTGGACCTAGGACGGAGCCCTGAGGTACACCACACGAGAGAAAGGTCTTGCTGGAGAGTTTATCTGCAACTCATGCAAGTTTACTCCTGTCTGTCAGATAGGACTGAAACCATGTCAAGGCTACACCATGAATTCCGTGATGATCCAGAATGTGCAGCAGTATCTCATGAACCACAGTATCAAATGCTGCACTTAACTCTAGTAGGACCAAATATGCAGCATTGCCTGAGTCAACTGCCCATCTGAGGTCATTCACGACTCTTAGTAGCAGAGTTTCGGTTGAGTGATGTGGTCTATATGCAGACTGGAATTTACTCAGAATGTTATTTTCAGACAGATGAGCCTTGAGTCCCTTCGTAACTGCTCGTTCAATCAATTTGGACAGGTTGGGCAAGTTAGAGACTGGGCGGTAATTTTTAAGGACCGTTGAGTCATGGTTCAAGTTTTATATGTGTGGTTTGATGATAGCAGTCTTCATGTTATGCGGAAACACACCCTCCGATAGACTCTTGTTGATGATGTCTGTGATGACGGGCAGCATAGATGTCATGTGATCAACAATCATTTTGCTTGGGATTGGGTCACTCAAACAGGTTGTTATATTTGATGATCTGATGATAAGTCTAACTTCGTGCTGCGAGAATGGTTCAAACTTGAACAGGGTTGTTCCAGTGAACTCAGACTGAGTGCCTTGTCTTTTGACTGGACTGTTTCCATGAAAGAGAGTTTTAATGTTTCGGACTTTGGATTCAAAATAGCTGTTAAAGTCATTTGCTAATTTAGAGAAATCATCTGAATCTGGGAGGATACAATTCTCTATTTATGCCTAAGAGAGTATTCATAAAATTATGAAGATTTCGTGGTTTGCTTGAAAATTTCATAATTTCTTCTTTGCAAAATTGACGTTTGGAGTGTTTAATCATCTTATTGACCCTGAAATTTGTTTGTCCTCAACAGATATGTTTTGAATTAGATCTTCATCATCCAGTGATGTGACAACCCAATCCAGTATATGACCAGATCTGTGAGTCGGTACCACCACATGCTGCTTGAGAGAATGGGAAGAAAGCAAATTCAGTATTTTCTTAACTTTCGGTTTGGTTGTGTCGTCGAAGTGAACATTAAAGTATCCGATATATATGGTAAGTGTCTTCTGATGAGAAGTGAACAGTTTTGATAAGTCATCATAGAACTCTCCGAGCGTAAGTTTATTTTTAGATGAAGGTGGCGGCCTGTATATACAGACAACCTTGAGTGTTCTATTAAAGGATGTAAAAGTTGCTTCCATGTGTTCAAACGAGGAGAAGGATGTCTTTGGTTTCATCCGCTCAACAATAAGACAGTCCTTGTGAATCATCGCAACTCCACCTCCTCGTCCTTCTCGAGGGACACGCACATGACGGAATCCTGGTGGTGTCATTTCAGCAATAACTGCTTCATCCCCTGCCTCTTGAAGCCAAGTTTCAGTTAAGAATAAAACATCAATGTCGTATTCCATGAGTAAGCCAGATATTTCAATGGATTTAGCTTTGGAAGATTGCACATTCCAGAGGACAGCATTGAGTAAACAGTTTGAACTATTCATGGCTTTGTTTTGTAAAAGTTCATGGTTAGTCACATGGATTGTACTTAGAGTTTTCACTTTCCGTCTAGATCTGCAACTTTTCTTATTTTCCCCTTCACATATAGTGTGTCTATACTGATTGGAGGACAATGAAGTGGGTGCACTGATTGTCTGATTGACAATAGCATGTCTCTAGAGTACACAGGTGGCTACTTGGTCCCCATTGTTCCGCTCCTCTCACAGTCCTGTCTTACCATCAGAGCTTGGGTACTGATTAGCAAGACATTTGAGATCACAGTGATTTTAAAACACAAACAGCATAAAACTGTCTATAACATCGACATTTCTCCAAGTTGACTTTCGTAACTTCATCAATGTATTCCAAAGCCACTTAGCCACAACCATGCCACAGTTTAGCATATGAAAAGGACTATAAGTCATGAAAAAGGTAGAAAAGGTAGGAGCAGAATAACTAGCTGCTACCAAACGCCCGTCAATCAGTCACTATCAATATACATCTGGCCATGTTACTACTTACCCTGGCTGGACTTGTAGAGAAGACAAATCCTAGAACCACAAATAGGACTAACCCCAGAAGTGACTGGATATTCTGGGGGTTGTACCTGACCACATCAAGTCCTATGTAGACAGCCATACCGGCACTTCCTAACAGGTACAGGCCCCTGGAAACACAGAGCGATGGAGGTTGAAGTTCATGTTCTGACTAACTACAAATACTCCTTCGAACAAAATGTATTACACTGTGATCAGGGTGGACAGTCTGACCAGTTAATAGCATTAGCAATTCCATGTATCTAGTAATATTTGATATAATATAATTTTATATCCAACCAACATTTGGACAAAATGTACCTCCTGATCCACCGTCGCATTGCCAGTGTCTTCTTACTTGGTCCACAAAGTGAGGCACATCTTTTGAGATGGGTGAACTTGCACAAGCCTTTTGTCACTTTCTTCAGCAGGTACAGAACTCCAATTAGTGTTCCAACCAGGAGACGAATAGACCCTTCATCTCCAAATCTGCAAACAACAATCGAAACAGTTTCAACACATATATGTTAGGTAAGTTGATGGTAGACGTGTCGTTGCATTTGCAACAGCGTGAAGTTTACACTAACATAATCTAGCGATACATAGTAGTAAGAAAAGAAATCCATTTCAAGATTGGGTGTCGACAACAACCACCCTGTATCGAACTGGACAAATTGTCCTGAACGAGCAACCACGTCATGGGGAACATTACACCAGAATATCATGTGGTCAGTCCACAATGAGGAGGTGGTTCTGGGTAACAGTTACTCCCCAGTAACATATGGCCTTTGCATGAGGTGGGAGCGGTTTTGTATGAGCTTATCCTCACGGTATATCATCCAACCAATGACGCTGGGCGTTTCTCAATATGTAGATAACGACAAATGGCTGAACGCAAGACAGAAACGAATTATTTGCTGTATAAACAACTACCAAAGTGTACCTTTGTCTAAAAGAATGCTGTTGATCGAGTGGCAGGGAATGGGTTTGGATTTCTTCCCATTTATAAAGACCATTTACAGCAAGGTCCGTTATTTCCCGCAATAAACATACAGTCGTTGACTTTCAGATGGTTGCCTTTCTGTGAACCTATTGCAAAATCCCTTTCCTTTTTCAAATCTAAATTTTATCATGATTTGTAAGTGAGTGAGTTCAGTTTTACGCCACACTCAGCACTTTTCTACGTAACTGGGATACGATGAAATACGTCAACCACGTCAGCGAGCCTGACCACCCGACCCCGTTAGTCGCCTCTCAGGACAAGCATGGGCTACTGAAGATCAATTCTAACCCGGACCTTCACGGGTCAGATTTGTAAGTGAAAAAATTACGTCACATATTTGAGTACACAAACCATCAGTGTCGATTATTTACAAACTTCAATGTTGTTAAGTGCCTCATTTAGAAACAAACAAACAAACAAACCAAAACTTACTTGTGGTACATACAATACCCAAAGTAGGTCAGGTAGAGGAGGAACAACAGACCCTTGACACCAGCAACAACTTTACCCTTGTGTTTGTCCATGAGTCTTCTTACTGAATTCTCCACATGCATGACGGCAGAGCTCCAGCAGTTGTCAACAAAGACCATGTCGTCGTCATCGACGGCCTTTTCAATGTCAACATCGTCCACAGCTACATGTGTGATGTCACCCCCTGGATCATTTGCACTTTGTATGTCTGTCATGATGCAAGGTGCGTACCTAGAAGTGAGTGAAACAGTGAGTGATTGAGTATGGTTTTACGCCGCTTTTTAGCAATATTCCAGCAATATCACGGCGGGGGACACCAGAAATGGGCTTCACTCATTGTACCCATGTGGGGAATCGAACCCGGGTCTTCGGCGTGACGAGCGTACGCTGTAACCACTAGGCTACCCCACCGCCCCTGAGTGAAACAGTGAGTGAGTGGGGTTAGTTTTACTCAGCATTCCAATATTAGCAATATCACGGTGGAGGACACCAGAAATGGGCTTCATACATTGCTTACATCGAATCTAGGTCTCCGGCGTGACTAGCGAACGCTTTAACCACCATATGAGTGAAACAGTGAGTTTGGTTGAACGTCGCTTCCATGGTGACTACGAAAATTACATGTAAAAGTAAACTTAATCAATATAAATATCTGTCACCTAAGATGAACATTTAAAACTGATGTTTGAGAAAAGCCCAAATCTCTGTTCAGTAGCATCATGCACACATTCCGTAGCCACAAGTCGTAGACATGGGTCGTACCAACAAGTCGTAGATATATGTCATAGTCACGTCGTAGATACAGGTCGTAGCTACAGGTCGTAGACACAGGTCGTAGATACAAGTGGGTAGACAACAGGTCGTAGATACAGGTCGTGGTCACATGTCGTAGATACAGGTCGTGGACACAGACAGATCGTAGATACCGTTCGTAAATACAGGTCGTAGATACAGGTCGTGGACACAGGTCGTAGATACCGTTCGTAGATACAGGTCGTAGCCACAAGTCGTGGACACAGGCCGTAGATACAGGTCGTAGATATGGGTCGTACCAACAAGTCGTAGATATATGTCATAGTCACATGTCGTAGATACAGGTCGTAGCCACAAGTCGTGGACACAGGTCGAGGACACAGATCGTAGATACAGGTCATAGATACAAGGTGTAGCCACACGTCGTAGCTACAGGTCGTAGACACAGGTCGTAGATACCGGTCGTAGACACACGTCGTAGCTACAGGTCGTGGACACAGGTCGTAGATACCGATCGTAGATACAGGTCGTAGATACAAGTCGTAGATACGGGTCGTGGCCACAGGTCGTAGATACCGATCGCAGATACAGGTCGTAGATACATGTTGTAGATACGGGTCGTGGACACAGGTCGAAGATACACGTCGTAGATACAGATCGTAGTCACACGAAGGCCGTAGGCCGAAGATACAGGTCACACAGGTCATACAGGCACATCGTATACAGGTATAGGTCACACATACAGGTCATATAGATAGGCATATCGTATACAGGTCATTTAGATAGGTCACACAGGCACATCGTATACAGGTCATATAGATAGGTCACACAGGCACATCGTATACAGGTCATATAGATAGGTCATACAGGCACATCGTATACAGGTCATATAGATAGGTCACACAGGCACATCGTATACAGGTCATATAGATAGGTCATACAGGCACATCGTATACAGGTCATATAGATAGGTCACACAGGCACATCGTATACAGGTCATATAGATAGGTCACACAGGCACATCATATACAGGTCATATAGATAGGTCACACAGGCACATCGTATACAGGTCATATAGATAGGTCATACAGGCACATCGTAAACAGGTCATATAGATAGGTCACACAGGCACATCGTATACAGGTCATATAGATAGGTCACACAGGCACATCGTATACAGGTCATATAGATAGGTCACACAGGCACATCGAATACAGGTCATATAGATAGGTCATACAGGCACATCGTAAACAGGTCATATAGATAGGTCACACAGGCACATCGTATACAGGTCATATAGATAGGTCATACAGGGACATCGTATACAGGTCATATAGATAGGTCATACAGGCACATCGTATACAGGTCATATAGATAGGTCACACAGGCACATCGTATACAGGTCGTATAGATAGGTCACACAGGCACATACAGCAAGGTCGTATATAGGATATATAGATATGTTATACGCATAGCTAATGTACACAGGATTTTGACAGGTTGTATACACAGGTGTGGACAAACAGGTATGGACACAGGACGTAGACATAGGTCATATACACATGTTATACATACAGGTTGAAATCATGGATCTAGGAGACAGGAAGGAGGCCAGGTCAGGTGGGTACAGTGCGTAATGGTGCTAGTTGTGAGCCAGTGTGGTTCATGCTGTCAACCATTAGTCTGTCTATCCCACTTTTATTACTTACGCTAAAGTATATTATGCACCAGTTTCATGCACATCACGTAATTTTATTAGGAGGATATTTCCCTTTATTTGTATCAGTACGTGAATAATAACATTACCCTGGATAACCCAAGCTGCCTGTGAGGCGTTAGAAGGACAGTAGTTACATGACTTATCCCACCGGGTACCCATTTTCAGCTGGGTGAACAGAGGCAAATTTGAACAAACTCACTTACCTAAGGTGAGACCACATGTATCACATGTGCTTTCTTTGTGGGGCAGGACTCAAATCCTAGAAACCCTCTGGAGTCAAGCTACCAAACATGGTCACCCATCGAAGGATTCTCTTCGTTCAACGTTGCTTAACTTGAACTGATTTGTGACTGAGCTGTTTGCACAGGAACACACATCACCACAGTATGCTTTAGTGATGTTACTTAGTGGCGAAGGATCAAGAAGGAGACGGACTCCGACTAGAAGCTTCAAATACACGAACATGAACAAATATTGAACCTGAAGTTCAATCCCATTTCACCTCACCCCTCACGTGATAACCTACCTGGCCGCGTTCCTCAGTCTCAACAGTTGTCTTTGACTGAATATACCTGTCACTAGATGTTATTTGGTAATCAGGAAAGGCTTGTCACCGCCATATGGAAATCCCGACCCACTGAGTAATGCATGGGCTGTACCTGTCGATGTATGTAGGTGTGGTGGGGTAGTCTAGTACTCTTCGTCACGCTGAAGAGCCGGGTTTAATTCTCCACATGGGAACAATGTGTGAAGCCTATTTCTTGTGAACCCCGCTGTGATATTGCTGGAATATGGTTAAAAGCCGCGTAAAACCATACACACTCACACTTCTTATTTATTGAGGAACACATCCCTGGATTAAAACACGCACGTGAAACAGAGTTTAATTGGGTCTAAGTTACCTGAATTAGAAAATGCTAAATAAAAATATCACCCTAAAATACACAACAAAAATATTGTTGAACAGGCAGGGGATTTTGCTTGATTCCAGCTACAGCATCAGCCAAAACCCTCTACAAAGGTCATCACAACAAAAAAAACGCAATGCTGACATTGAAAATGTTTGTTGGATCATAGTCTTATATATTAAATTATCACAATATAATGCAACCTGTAGTGGGTACATGTTGTTACATAAGAAGAAGACGATAAATAGAATCGCCTCTTATTGTATGAAAAATAAATGCTAATAAATTATTTTTACAGTCATAGGTACTTTTCGCAAAAACATTCTTAAAACGTAAACAATTGCCAGAAAATATATACAGCTATAAAAATATGAGAAGTGGGATTGTTTGTATTTCTTAAAAGGATTCAAATGTAACAGCGGTTTGGATGATAAACATTTACTATTTTGTGGGGTTCATAGTGCTGGTATGGGTTTTTAATACTTCTTGTGAAGATCTGGATTAGAACTGGTCATGGAACTTGAAACAACCAACCCTTGTTATAAGAGTCGGCTAACGGCAACGGTTTGTGAGTGAGTCTAGTTTTACGCCGCACTCAGCAATATTCCAGCTATATGGCGGTGGTCTGTAAATAATCGAGTCTGGACCAGACAATCCAGTGATTCACAGCATAAGAATCGATCTGCGCAATAGGGAACCGATGACATATGTTAACCACGTCAGCGAGCCTGACCACCCGATCCCGTTAGTCGCCTCTTACTGAAGGCACATTCTAACACGGACCTTCACGGGTGCAACGGTTTGTCTGATGGTTATTGCATGTCATCGTATCTCATTTGAATATCATCTTGTATCCTAGAGTACATTAGTGGTCGAGAGCTATGACGTAAAATGTTTGCTTGTCTGATCAAGATTCGATTGTTTACAGACAGCTGTCATTTAGGTCGAATACTGTTAAGTCTGATGTTATGCAACAAAAGTAGTATAGAACGGGTCAGCAGGACCTGCCTTTGGTTAAAGAAAGGTTAAGGGAGATGAAAATGCAACGATAACGCATTCATAGGCTCATGGATGCAGGACGTCACAGGTCAGAAAGTAAACCAACCCATGGTTGTTCTAGGGCACTCATTAAGGTAACCTTTCATGAAACAAAACAAAGTACAGGTGATATGATGCGCCAATGGTGAGGTATTCATGTCACTCTGAATATAATGCACCTGCATTTAAAGAGCCCACGCTCGCTAAAGCATGTAAACAGAGTAACAGAGTAAAGCATATAAAAGAAAGCTTCAGACGCTCTAATCGCATACGGCATTGCATCACGATGAGGGTGAGCAGCTGTCCAGATTGTGGAAAGAGTTTTACGTGAAATGATAATCTACAGACACATCAGAAGCAGATGCACGGATCAACGCAACACTCACCCCCTCCTCCTCTTCCTGAGGACTGACACCTTCATCATGAGGATCAACACCATCCTCCTCCACCTGAGGAGAGAGACAACCTCCTCATGAGGATCAACACACTCCTACGGAACACCAGCAGCATGAATGAATCCAATTCCTTATTCCCTCCAATATCCTTGTTGTTGGACTTAGTGGCTGTAGAAAGTCTGTGTTTACCTTTCATCTGCTATGACATGGATGATCCAGCCTATACCGAACCACATTGTTTGGTGTTTTACTCAGTGGCAGCCAGTATATCAGCACATAAGCGAGCAGCTGCCTCAGGTGACATTTGTGAAAGGAATTATTTGACGAGGATTACTTTGACGAGGATTACGTTGTGTTGGTGTTGAATGATTTCCTGGCCGATGCAAAGCATGACAAGCGTACCTCACAGCTGTTTACTCAAACTAGCCATCACAAAAATGTACTGATCTTTCTTCTGCTACAAAACCTGTTTCCGAGAGGCAAAGAATCGAGAGACATTGCTTTGAATGCTCATTATGCCAGCTTATTTCACCCACCCCATTAGTTTCTAATAAATATATTATGAACGATTTCATCTTTATGCTTTCTGTTCCATGACCTCTTTGATTTAACCACCTACAAGATAAACATGTACAAAACATCTATTCTTACCTATAATGTAATATATACAGTAAATGTATCGCTTCACCGGTGAAGCAAAGGCGTGTGTCACAAATAGATTGAACAGATGTTGTGACTTGAATGAATTGGCTAGGCAAGACCACTATTCAATTAAGGCATTTACCTAAACTGTACTGTAAGTAATTACATGCCTAACCTGACCAAATCTCCCCTTGTTATTTGTGTAACTGCTGCACATGTCCTTTCCTGTACATTCCAAAGCCAGGACATATTGGCATATTCATGAACTGTGATAAGTCATGTCTAACCTTATACAGCAGACTTTAGTCAACATTGTGCGATTATGAACTTTCGAGTCGCACCTTGTATTGATATTTTGTATAGAAAGTTCTCTTTATTCAACAAAGTTGGTCGCGCACCCTGGCAACCGCTGTCTTTTTTAAATGTGGGTTCATTCAGCATTATATACAATTCAGGTCACATGACTATGTCGTCATTGCACGCATTATATCAACTGTGCTTTGGTTTTCATTTTATGAAAGGTTTCCTTAATGAGTGCACTAGAACAAACATGGGTTGTGTACCTTTCTGACCTGTGACGTCCTGTATCCATCTGTGGTGAACATATATGTCTTGAGATGTTTCTGGAAAGTGGCCACATCTTGAATGTCTCTGATGTCATGGGGGAGACTGTTCCAAAGATTAGCTGCTGCTGCAAAGGACCAGTCTCCAAAACAATGCTTTGTGAGTAGTTGCTGGCACACAGAGAAGATTATGATCCCCCGAACGAAGAGTTCTTGCTTGTATGTAACTGGTTATAAGGCCTTGCAAATACTGTGGTGCAAGACCACGCTTTGCTTTGAACACAAGGAGGATCATGTACCGAATCCTGCTGGATACAGGCAACCAATGGAGTTGACGGAGAATTGGGCTTATGTTATCAAGTTTTCTTGTCCTTGTAATGGGTCTTGCGGCTGAATTAGGAGCATGCTGTTGCTTGTTGAGGAGACATTTAGGGAGACTGCAATAGTGCAGGTGTGATAGGACACAGGACTTGACTAACGTTGCTGCAGTTTTGTTATCAATGCATCTGATCTGGTGATATTTCTGATACTTATGTAAGGTTTCTGGCAGCTCATAGCTGAAGGTTGAATCAAACAATAACTCCAAGTTCCCTCACGTCTTTACTTGGCTTGATGGGATTTCATCCAATATTCAGGGTTGGGAGACTGAGTTTGTGTTGTACTGATTTTGCACGTATCACAAGTAGTTCAGTCTTGTCTTGGAATGCCAGATATAACAGCGTATCATCTACGTAGAAATGGGCAGATAACTCATGGCATCTAGCAATATAACCCAGAGGTGAGGTGTATATTGTAAATAGCAGCGGTCCGAAAAGAGAACCTTGAGGGACGCCGTATTTGAATTGCACGTTTTGTGAAAGACAGTTATTGATTTCTTCTGCTTGATATCTTCCGATTGCAGCCAGGAATAAGCACTTGAAGTTACACCAAACCTGTGCTTCAGTCGCGCCATTAGAATTGACTGGTCGACAGTGTGAAATGCCGGTGAGAGGTCAAGTAACACTAAAATCGCTGCTCCTCCTTTGTGTACGGAATGCAAAATATCATTTGGAACTCGTACAAAAGCAGTCTCTGTGCTATGAAAGCGCCTGTACGGAGACTGCGTGATTTCAGCATTTCCACTCGTAAGAACATGATCACGTAGTCGTGCAGCAACAATCCTTTCAAGCACCTTTGAAATGAATGACAAGTTGGACACTGGTCTGTAATTCTAAAGTAAATCTGCTTCGAGTTTTTCAGTTCAACAACAACCAACTTTTTATACCATTATACTCCTTTCTTGGAAAGGAAAGTCCTACTGATTAAAAAATGACATTAATCTTTGTAAAGTTGTGCATAAAACATTTTATCGGGAACTGTGTTAATACATAAAGTATCTTGCAGTTGGAATTATCCAGGAGATAACTTTATGCGCAATGAAATTCCAGGTGTAATTCTAAAAAAAAAATGTAATGAATTAAATAATAATTTAATAGCGTGTAAACAATGATGATTATATCCACACTTTGATTAATGCCAATAGCTCTCAATAGGTGTCTCTCACAAATGTATTCTGTAATATGAGCTTGATTATTACAAACCTATTTAGTATTTGTTTATGGTGCAGCATTTGCAGGTAAACATAACATTCACATGCTTTATTCATCAATAATATCTTGATGTCAACACTGTAAGGAACTGTTTTTTTAAGTATATCATACTTGGTCTCACATGTGTTATGTATTTTTTCAGTTGCAACAGATGCACATCTTTAAGGGGAGAAAGAAGGAGGAATACCTCACCACAATTACCATTGACATCAAGAGCAACACAAACTGAAACAGATCTTCAGATTTCTTTAACATCTGGTGTTCAAGGAATACATTGCCAATGAAGAAACATCAAGTCATTGAAGTGTTGTATGTACAGTTATAAAACATATTAAAGCCCTACACATCATCCTTTGGACACTTTCGTGAACAGGGAATGCTTGTCACCAGCAAGGTGTTGTGGAACTTCTTGTGACATCTTGGGACTCTCAGATAATTCCGTGAGAAGTTAGTGAGTGAGTGAGTGAGTAAGTTGGGTTTTACGCCGCTTTTAGCAATATTCCAGCAATATCACTGCGGGGGACACCAGAAATGAGCTTCACACAATGTGCCCATGTGGGGAATGGAACCCGGGTTACCAACCTCATTGGCAGAATATTTGGAATATATAAGTTACGTAAAATGGGTGAAAAACCCTATGTTTCATGACAAGTAATCATGTTGCTATCAGCCAGTGTCTGCAGAATCTGCAGTCATGACATAGTATATATGCACATTTAGTTTCCCCATGTATTGGTCAGTATATGTTACAATACAGGAAATGTCTTTGAGTGATTACTCCATATTTGAGTATGTTTGGTCTTGCATTTTGGCCAATTGTGACTTGAAGGTGCTGTGTGCTGCTTCATAATTTGCTTACAGCACAGCATAACCTCACCCCCGCATAACCAAGAACTAAGTAACACGCATGTACTGTAGATCATAGTACATAATTCACAACATCCAAGACATCTAGTACAAAGTGTAATTATTATTGTCCAACCACCAGTTTTTATATATCACCCCACTAAAATAATGTTTACATAATTCATATATTTCATATATTTATATTTTTTTTAAATAATGTTATTTATTCAATATATCATTATCAATATATTTACAGCATGGCAAAGAAACAATTTGGCACATGCAGATCCCTGTCATCTATCCAAAGTAAAATTTATAATGCATTTTCTTTCACATTTGCAAAGCAAGAAACAATTTATTTCTTGTATCTTTGAGTCATTCTGTCACCTGAACTTGCATACAGTCATCCCTTAGACTTGGAAGAGAGTAAAATTGTATGTTAAGCCTACCAACTAGTTTACACATGCATTTTACATTGCATATAAAAGCCAATTGTCTCCATTGATTAAATCTATTAAATAGTTCCTAACTAATATAAATATTGATATGTAGAAAATAGTTTTTAATTTGAAATAGTTACTGAAAATATTGCTGCAGCATAACAAATGTATTTCGAAAATAAATAACAAATAAAACAAACAAAAATATTCTAATTTGGAAATTACATACTTTAAGTGAAAATGGAAATGACAGAGTCAATGTGGCCAAATATGAATAGAACATCAACTCGATAAAGTTGGTAACATATGACTCTTTTATGAATAGCAGTGTATTAATTAATAGTTTTATTAATTCAATAAATAATGTTTACTCAAATACATTTTACGTTAACCATGTCATTGATTCCCGAAATATATTTTCTGACAAACACTGTCCGCGATACTGAAAAGAAACACGTTTAGCGATAGAACTGCACTGGTTGTCAAAAATATATTATAGCTAAAGAAAGGTACTCATATGTTTCGAATTGACTCATGGTTGTCGGTTGTCAGTAAGGAACCGATAAACCTTGAAGGAATAATAATTTTTCGATCTTATCTTCCCAAAATGATCCAGTTATTCCGACTGTCGCCAGCTGTGACAGCCAAGCTTGGTAGTACACTTGGTCCGGTCTAGTAAGGTGATATTTGGCGGTCGCGCAATTTGGCACCAGAACTCGCTTGTCACCGGAAATCTAGTAGCGGAAGTAGCGCCTCGCGAGACTTACGGGCCCTATTCAACCGTTACAGCTGAAATATTCATTGCATTTGTAAAACAATTGAACAGACACTTACTTTGGTATATATAGAGTCGACCCGTTCATAATAGTGTAGCTCTGGAACTGAGATCGGGTCGTTTCCCTGTATCTCACAAGTTATTTAAAACTAAACAATTGAGAGGTTGAGCAGCGCTACGAGTACATGTACGCCTACGTGTAGCTTACACGTACACGTACACGTACACGCTACCAAACTTTAGTGACCGTGAGTAAATCTTATGTGTACGGGTACATGTGCTGGTATATGTAAAACGACTTTTGATTGGTCAAATTTTCCGACTAAAAAACTATAAATATAAATATAAATATAAATCTTTTGGCTGCCGTGGAAGATAACG